GTTATAAATATGAGGATATGACATTGCAAATAATCTCTAAAATCACATGAAGAATGACGCCAAATCGACTATACAATGCAAACATGGCATGTTAATGGAGTTAAGGCTCAAAGGTAGCTACGGGACTTAAACCATGACTATGTCAACCAAGCCCCAAATGGTCGAGGCGACCTAAAATAGTCCCGAGGCAGACCAAAATGAAGCTAAAACTCATATGGAACAAAGCCAAAACATGCTATGAAGAAAGACACAAAACAAAACACATACAAGGTTTAAAAGGGCAAATGCACTACACCTCTTATAATCGAAGATGGCATGACTTAGACTAATGAAGTCAGAGTTAAAACAAGTCAAAATAAGCCCCAAAACCCACTGATATGGCAGCCCAAAGACTTAAACAAAGAGGCATGCATAATAGCCTAAGCATGGAGTATAAGACAACAACTCTTCAAAGCATTGAAAGGGTGTTAAATGCAAGCATACAAGCATGGAATATGGACTGAAATGGCATGAGAAGTGATTCCAAATCACTGAAATAACCCAAATGAAGCATGCTCAAGACTCACACGCCCAAGGCTAACAAACCAAAATGCAAGGTGGCTACACAAAGCATTGCAAGCATGACCAAATCGACACCAATCAGAGCTTAAACATGGTAAAACATGACTAAAAACTTCACAAAGCTAAGTCAAAACATGCAAGCATGGTGGTCTAAATGCATGATGCATTTCTAGGCAAACTAGAAGAATGCAAGGCAAGTGTATTATGCATGCAATGGACTAACAATCCAACCAAAAACAGAGGTATAATATGATCAAATAACACCAAAAGCCCTCTGAAATGGAGCCAAAATTGACTAAGCATGCATGCTACCTTTGTGAGCCAAAAACACAAGCAAATGAGACACAAAGGGAGAGGGGTGTCCCTCCCCTATATATGACCTCAAAACTACTTCTCCACCACTGAAAATCCTCTGGATTTCAATGGTGAGAAGGTCGAAATGAAGGGGTCCCAAAGGTCAAAGAGAAAGGCACAAAAAAAAGCCATAAAAGGCCTAAGAGGGGGTGGACAACCCCAAACACGAAAGCGACCTTAATGAAACATCTTAAACAATAAAAAAAATAGAACTTTTATCAGTTATACATAAAGCACAAAACAGCATGCAAGATAGGTTAAAAGCTTGTAAAAAAATGGGGAATATAAAGCAATAGTGCTCACCCTTGAAGAACATTTCAAGAACACCAACCCAGCCCCTTCCTCTGATCAAAACCATCTTAAAAACTCTGAAACCAGCCCCTTAACACCTTAGTAACCGAAGCATAGTGTAACACTAGGTGTTTTAGTGCAAAACTAAGAGCAAAAGCACACCTTTGAACACTATTCCACACACTAATGGAGAGAGAGAGGAAGAGATAGAGAGGGAGTGATATATATATGATATATATCTCTAATATATATATTTGATTTGCTCGAACCCCTCTAAAGGAGAAGGGAGGCCCTCTTTTATAGAACAAAAAGGGCCTAAGCTTCTTGGAGAAGCCAAGACAAAGGGGTCAAGCTTCCTCAAGAAGCTAGAGCAAAAGGGTGCAAAGGGTGCAAATCCTCCATACACGTGTATGAAGGACAGGTATGTGTGCTCCAGCTGGTACAACTGGCATGTACAAATGGCTAAAAAAGGAAAAAAAGAAGCCCCGGCTAGAAAATATGGCCGATTGAGCAAACAAACGGCCGGCCGACCAAAAACAATGCTGATCTGCCATCACCAATGGCTGGTAGCAATGAAACAGGGCCGGTGGCCTCAAGCCATGGCCGGTGGGGTGTGGGGACGACTAACAAGCCATTCTCTGCCCACAGAAGCAAAAACAAACAAGTTCTTGGTCCACAACCAAGCACAGAACAGGCAAGTTAAGAGATCCTGAGGCAAGGCGCGCAGCAGAGACCTCCGGGAACTCAAAACGAACACGAACATGGATGATCATCGAGTGTTCAAACGATGACATCCAAGTCTTAAGGACGGTCAAAAATGGGGTGTCTTCACAACGGTAGATAGGTTTCCCAACTTTCTTGAAAATCCATCATGCACATTCGGAGCATATCCTCTAGAGTCTGTATCGTTCTCTCGGATGGACTGCCGGTCTGAGGGTGAAAAGTTGTGCTGAACTTGAGTTCTGTACCCATAGCTTCCAGAATCTTGAAAGAAACTTGGGATCCCTATCCGACACAATTGAGACCGGAACACCATAAAGCCTTAAAATTTCACTCACATAGATTACTGAAAGTTTATCTACATTATATTGAGTCTTCACTGGTAGGAAGTGAGCGGACTCAAATAATCGGTCTACAATGACCCATATAGAATTCATACCCCAAGGAGTTCGTGGTAACCCCACAACAAAATCCATGGTCAAATGTTCCCACTTCCATTTCGGGATTAAAAGGGATTGCAGCAGTCCTGCTGGTCTCCGATGCTCTGCCTTTACTTGCTGACATTGTAGACATTTAGAAACGAACTCTTCAATTTCCTTTTTCATACTTGGCCACCAAAAATTCTATTTTAAATCCCAGTACATTTTAGTACTTCCCGGATGTATTGAAAATATTGAGGCATGTGCTTCTTCCATTAATTTTCGTTTAAGTTCCAACATATTAGGGACACATAATTTGTTTTGAAATTTGAGCCCCGAATCCACTAAATTGAACCCCGGTTTTGGTTTTGTCTCTAACTCATCACAGACTTTCCGTAGAGTTTCATCTTCCATTTGTCGTAGCTTGATCTCTTCAAGTAAGGTTAGTTGAGCCATCATCGCTGCTATTACGGCCTCCAGTCCACGTATTACAAGATCCACATCCATTTTATCCAAGTCAATCACCAACTCCTTTTGCTTCGTTAATAGATTTTCCAAATCTCTCATATTTTCCGACTAAGCGCATCTGCAACTGTGTTGGCTTTACCAAGATGGTAATGAATCTATAAATCATAGTCTTTAATCAGCTCTAACCAGCGCCATTGTCGCATATTCAACTTCTTTTGAGTAAAAAGGTACTTGAGACTTTTGTGATCGGTATAAACTTCGCAAGTAGTGCCATACAGATAATGCCGCCATATCTTCAAGGCAAAAACTACTGTTGCTAGCTCAAGATCATGTGTGGGATAATTCTTCTCGTAGGGTTTCAACTGTCGAGAAGCATAAGCAATAACTCTTCCATTTTGCATAAGTACACAACCAAGCCCTTTGTGCGAAGCATCACTGTAGATTGCAAACCCTTCAGTACCAGATGGTAAGGCCAGAACTGGTGCTGTAGACAACTTTGTTTTCAATTCTTGGAAGGCAGATTCCCGCTTTTCTGACCATTCAAACGCAACTTCCTTTTGGGTCAATTGTGTAAGTGGCGCAACAATTTTGGAAAAATCTTGAACAAACCTCCTGTAATATCCGGCTAACCCCATAAAACTACGCACCTCAGTCACATTGGTAGGAGTTGGCCAGTTCACGATCGCTTCAATTTTATGTGGATCAACAGAGACTCCATCCTTTGCTATAACATGCCCCTAGCCAAAATTCACATTTCTTTAGCTTTGCATACAGCTTCTTTTCTCGGAGTGTTCGAAGAATTAAGCGAAGATGATTCTCATGAGCTTCCGCATTCTTCAAGTAAATGAGGATATCATCAATAAAGACCACCACAAATTCATCCAAATATGGCTTGAAAACCCGGTTCATCAAATCCATAAATGCTACTGGTGCGTTAGTAACTCCAAAGGGCATAACCAAAAATTCACCGTGCCGGGTTCGAAAAGCTATCTTCTCAACATCATCAGCTTTGACCTTCAATTGATGGTATCCAGACCGTAGGTAAATTTTTGAGAAAACTTGTGCTCCTTGAAGCTGATCAAATAAATCATCGATTCGTGGCAATGGATACTTATTCTTGATCGTTACTTTATTGAGTTCCCTGTAGTCTATACATAATCGGAGTGTTTCGTCTTTCTTTTTCACAAACAGAACTGGTGCACCCCATGGAGAAACACTCGGACAGATAAATCCCTTATGAAGCAAATCCTGCAACTGAATCTTTAATTCTTTCATCTCAACTGGTGACATCCTATACGGAGTCTTAGAAATTGGTTGAGTTCCCGGTGCCACTTCAATTGTAAACTAAATCTCACGGTCTATTAACTGCCCTGGCAATTCTTCCGAAAAGACATCCGAAAATTCACGAACAACTGGAATCAGATTAGTATTTCCATTCCTCACTTGCCCTTCCAAAATACTGCATAAAAACCCCTGACACCCTTTCTGAATTAGTTCACAAGCCCTTGCCGCAGAAATCAAATATGGTGGAGAAGTCACTTCCTGTCCTTGAAAAATAGACTCTGCTTGTCCCGGAGGGTGGAAACTGATTTGCTTAGTCAAGCAGTTTATAGTTACACCCTAAACACTCAACCAGTCCATTCCCAGAATAACATTGAAATAAGTCATGTCGAGAGGTAACAGATTAGCATACACCCGAATATCCCCAAGTTGGAGTTCACAAGCTAAGTATACAGAAGCACAGATCATAGAGTCACCCAAAGGTGAAGACACACACAACATATAAGATAGTTTTTCTTCAATTTTATCTAAATTAGGATCAAATAGTTTCGACACAAAAGAGTGGGTGGAGCCAGAATCAAACAATACATGAGCAGAATGACCCTGAACAATAAATGTACCTGACACCGCTGTGGCCGCACTTTGCACATCTCCCGGAACTAATGCGAACACCCTACCTTGTCTCGCAGTGTCTTTATTGTTAGTAGGTTTAGCAGCTGTCTTGGTGTTGGAAGTTGGTGCAGACCGTACTGAACTTGTAACAGCTTTGTTGTTATTTCGTTGATTCCCTTGAGGACAATCCCTTACCAGATGACCCGTTTTGCCACATCGGAAACATGCTCCAGACAATCGGTGACAAGCCCTACGGTGCCTCCATCCACATTCTGAACACACAGGGGCTAAATCTTAAGTAGAAGTGGTTGTGCTTGAGGTCCCTGAATTTTGCTTCTTGTTTGGTGGAGTAGCTGACCCCTTGAACCATTGATTGTTCTGCCTCTTCCCTTTCCACTTGGAAATCCGATTCTGAGCAGCAAGGTTTCCCTCTGCTATAACAGCCCTCTCTAACACATCCACATAAGTGGGCAACTTCAACATGTTGACTCGGTCTAGAATAGCAACCCGTAGTCCCCCTTCAAATTTTCGTGCCTTTTTATAATCTGTGTCTACAATATGAGGTTCAAACCGGGCTAATTCTGCAAATTGAGCTTCATACTCCGCAACAGTCTTGTTCCCTTGTCTGAGAGTTTCAAATTCGGTTACCTTCTTGTCTTGTATACTTTGGGGAAAGTACTTGTCATAGAACAGCTCCAAAAATCTATCCCACGTTAACCTCGGGTGTGTAGTTCTCGTAAGCATCCACCACCTCCGTTCTTTGTCTTCAAGTGAGAAGGCGGCCAGTTGCACCTTTTGAGCTTCGGTACAGGGAAATACTTCAAACAATTTCTCTATGCCCAACACCCACGCTTCAGCTTTCATTAGTTCTATCCCCCCTTTGAACGACGGTGGTTTCTGTAGACACCCCATTTTTGACCGTCCTCAAGACTTGGGCGTCACCATTTGAACACTCGGTGATTATCCATGTTTGTGTTCGTTTGGAGTTCCCGGAAATCTCGGCTTGCGCGCCCCGCCTCAGGATCCCCGAACTCGACCGTTTAGTGTCTGGTTTCACACCAAAACCTTGTGTTTTCTTTGGAAGGCAAGGGTAGGGCTTGTAGACCATCCCCACCCACCACCGGCAAGTGGCTAGCGGCCACCGGCAGGTTTTTGCTGCCACCCGGCAATATGCCGGCCGGCACTATTTGTTGCGGTCAGCACTTTTTAGTGCCGGTCGGCACTCTTTTTGGCCAAGATGGCATTTTTTGCCGGCCGATTGCTGTTCATTTGCTTTTGCAGATATTTTTAGACAGCTGTCTTGCTTTTGTGTATGGAGGGATCTCCCTCTTATGAAGCTTGTCTTGTAAGGTTTACAAGACAAGAAGTGCCATATAGAGAGAGGTTGGTCTCTTGGTTTGAGGGGGTTAGACACTTAAGATATTTTGAGAGCTTAGACAGCCATTGTTAAGCTCTGGTTTTAGGGTTTGAGTTGCATACACTTCCTATCTCTCTTTCCCTCCCTTTTATGCTCTAGGTGTTTTGTGTCTTACTATTGCACACAAACACCTAGTGTTTCACCTTTGTCTAGCTATTAAGGTTCTAAGGGACTGATTTTGTGGTTTTGGTGTTGGATTCAAGCCAATGGAGGCCATTGGAGCATCACTTGTGAAGGGGTCATCAAGGGTAAGAAACTAACACCTTTATTCCCCATTTTTGCACCTTATTTCTACCTGTCTTAAATTCGTTTTTGAGCTTGGTGTATAATACAAAAAAGTTCTATTTTTAGGCCCTCTTTATTGTTTGTTAAGAGTGTTTCTTGGTTTGAGGGTTGTTGACCCCTCTTAGGCCTTGAAAGGCCTCATTTTGAGCCATTTTGTGCTAGCTCCGGGATTTTGGTGTTGGGGTCTCTTCACCACAGAAATCTTGAGGGATTTCAGTGGTGAAGGTGATGCCTTGAAGTCCCAAGAAGGAGAGGGCCACCCCCTCTCCTTGTTGTCCTTGAAAAGGGCATGTTTTGGTCTCTTGAGGGAGCATCATGATGGAGGGTGTATTGACCATGACTTGGCTGCTTTTTATGCTTAATATGTCATGTTATACCTCTGTTTTTACTTGGTTTTGGTACTCCATGCATGCTTAGCATAGTTGCCTTGTTATGCCTTAATGTGCCTTAGGTTGTTAGCCTTGGTTGGAGCATGTTTTAGGCTTAGACTTGTGAAGATTTTGTGCATGTTTTGCCATGTTCTAGGTCTGTCCTAGGTTGTTTGGGTTGAATTTGGCATGCATCATATAGCCCCTTTGCATTCCGGCTTGTTGGCCTTAAGTATGTAAATGTATAGCATGCCATCCTTGCATTGTTTTGATGATTTGGGACCATCCATCATGCCATTTCAGACCTTATTGTATGCTTGAGAGCTCGCATTGGATGTCCCTTTAATGCCTTGTAAGGTTGTCATCTCATGCTCCATGTTTTGGTGATTATGCATGCCTCTGTTCTTGAGCCATTTAGATGCCATCTAAGTGGTCTTTTGGGCCTTATGTTATGTGCTAAAATTCTATTTTTTTAGTCATTTGGTCCATGCCATGTTTGGTCTTGCTAAGTGTAGTTCAATGCCCCATTAGTTTGCTTTGAACACTTGGACTATTTGTTACATGTTTGGCTTGATTTTGTTGCTTGGTTTGACACCATCCTAACATGCATTTTCAGAGCTTATGTTGCATGTTAATAGTCCATGATTGTCCCTTTCAAGTGTGCTTGAGGGTTGTCTAATTTGTGCCTAAGTGTTGGGCCTTAACATGTGCATGTGTGTATATGTGTTTTGGTCTCCTCTTTTGGTCGTTTTAGCCACTGTTTTGGGCCTTATTAGAGCCGCCCAAATCATGCTTTAGACCACCTTTTCATTGGCTAGCATTGCCTCATGTTTGCTTGTATGTTTTGCATAAGTACATTGCATTGTTCATGTTGTATGAATGATAACATGCTTAGGTTGCATTACATCAACATGCATTCCTTGCCCCTTGATTTGGTGATAGGGATTAGGACTTTGGTTTGATTTGGTTTGCATGCATTTGAAATCAAAGCTGCATACTTGATCACTTGGGCCATCATGCATGAGAATGTGTGATTGGTGGTCCGAGAATCGAGACACATGCCCCTTTGAGTCTTGGGCCATCATGCATGGAAATGCGTGATTGGTGGTCCGAGAATCGAGGCACATGCCCCTTTGAGTCATTATCACGATAAGGGACATGGTTGGTGCATACATGCCTTGAATTGTGCTGCCATGCTTTGCCTTGCCCTCTGTTGCTGTCAATTACAGGTTTTGCAGGCATTCCTTGCCGACCGGCAGTATATATTGCCGACCGGCAGTAAACGAGCAGCAGATAGCTTCATTTTGTGCCGATGGCCACACACCACTGCCGGTGGTAATTCCACTCAGCCGGTGGCACTCCCCAGTGTCCAGGGATGCAGTCCTGAGGTTTTGACAGCCTCCAGAGGAGCAGAGGAAAGAAAACAGAGGCAGCTTGCGCATGGCGGCGCATTTCCCGAGGCAGTTTATCTGCTTTTCTTAGTTTATTTAATTTGTTAATTAATTTGTAATATTTAATTAGCTTGCGTAGTTAATTAATTTGAAATATTTATTTGGTCCCTCCGAGTGAGGGCAAATCTGTAATAAGTGTGTGTGGGTGGTGTGTATGTCTTCCAATCCCCACTTCTTTCTTCCTTTTTACTTACCTGCTTTGATGGTTAGTATTAGGGCACGTTTAAATTAGCATACCTTATGCTATGCATGCGTGCATCCATACATTTGAATTACATACATTAGGCTCGGTACATCACGCTAACTGCATTTGTACTTCAAATTCTAATATGTGATAGTTGCGCATTCTCACATGCCATGATTAGGATAGCCGAGCCTATTCTAGCAACACTTTGTTTGCGATGCATTAGGCATTTAACATGGACTTGGATCATACATGTTGCTAACGAGTTCTTTGTTTTGGCACGGAGTACGATGTAAGTATTTACGCTTGAGCATCCCGCATGCGTGTGAGTGTTGCCATGACAGTATGCCTGCCATGCGGCTAAGTGCTTATGTGTTAAAACTGTTTGAATACCTGTGGGTGAAGGTTGGATTGTTTGAGTTGGAAAAACTCATTGAAATCCGTGTTTTAGCCTACTTGCGAGTAGCAAATTCAAAAGCATTTTCAAAACAAACGGATATGCAATGTTCCTTTCCAAATTAGGCAATCTAGTCTATACTTGTTTGTTGCGCGCATAACATAGTAATTCTAGGCTAATAATTGGAATAAGAACACATAACGTTTTCAAAATCGGATATCATGGTTAGTAGAGGCCGGTCTTCGGACCGGGCGAAAGGGGGTGCTCATAGCTGACCTTCCCCGATCGTACCCAAGCTCCCGAGCCGAGACAACTCCGGTGATGACGGACATGTGGCCTTCGGCACCGAGTCAGGGTTTCCTAAATTTCCCCATTTTAAAAACATTTAGGTGGCGACTCTGTATCTGGCAAAGCAGTCCATGTTTGGCACTACTTTTTCAAAAATCTGTTTCTCAAAACGATTTGCCAGATTTGGACTCTTTGGTTCAGATTAAGAACCGTGACACAAATCGAGTCCGAACTGTAGCAGCATGAGGCCCACGCGGGCGCGCCTACAGTTTCATCTTTTTAAACTCCTTTATGAGTGTAATAGTTCGGTCCTCAGCATGGAAATCTTACACTACGGGTGGCGGTACTGGTGGCAGTGGCGGTTGCTGTTGTGGCTGTTGCTATTGTTGTCGTAGGGTCTCCGCCATTTCCGTAAGCATTCTTTCCATCCTGTCCAACCTTGCAGAAGTGGCATATTCCGGGTCTTCTGTTTTTGTTCTGACCATATTCTACAAGACATTCAATTACAATACGTACAAGGGTCTACCATAAACATGAATCATAATCGTTAGCGTTAGCAGAATACATTTAATGTTGCCATCGATCTTTTCATGTACTTTCAGGATGTCATGCACAATGCCTAAGTCTTTTCTAGGCACTCTAAAGCCCAATGGATCCGTGTGTGAGATAGCAACTCGTGCTTTGATACCACTTGTCACGCCCCAAACTCGCCCCTAAAAGTTTGGGCATGACCCATTCGGAAACGAACATTTAACCTGATATATATAACATACGGGGCTTGACCGGAAGCATCAAATATCATAAAATAACATAAAAACATATCCATTGAGCTACTATTGACATGCTAGGATCACAAACAGTATATCTAGTAATTAACCGTACAAGAACATGCACCTGAAAATTTGTTATGCACAAACAGACATACAGATTCAGCCCCAAGATTGGTCGAATAACAAAACATTATTTACATTTCAACCTTAGTCGGTAATTAGAGTACAAGCCAAAAGCCCAACCAGACTCCACTAAAGTGCATGGGTTTCTCCAAGTGCCTGACTAGACTTAGGTTGCCAAAAGGGAGACGAGTATCGTTGTTAGGACGGACCTCCCGGTTGATAACCTACAGAATCAGACAAAATAAGAGTGAGCTAAACTCAGTGAATAATAGTATTTAAACAGTTCAATGCACAACTTGAATTATAGCACATAATAACGCGCATGTAACTGCAGAGTTCTTATGGTTAATCCGATGCTGTGTCACTTTCAGAACGGCCTTAGGTCCAGAAATAACAGAACAGCCATCGGCCCAGAAATTACAGAACAGAATAGTTCCAGAGTGATCCAGACGCACACAAATTCCTTCAACGTTTACATTCACACCAATTCCCAACCATTATACATGTTAAGGTAGTGACTTACGAAAAACAGAACGTTAATAGCTGTAAGCATTAATGGTGAATAAATGTACATTTAATGCACCATTACTCACAGTGTTGTGGCGGAGCGCTACTTCCTCCCGGAGTGT